CTTCTGTTGATAAGTTGGCATCACGGACTTCATGGTATCTGCTGATCAGAGCAAGTGGTGGTGGATTGGCGACTCGTCCCCACGATAGAGAATGTAGTCCTTGGATAGGATATGACCAGTTTTGCGACGCGTTGTTCATGTTCGTATGGGTTAATTGGGTAAGGTTTATACTACCGTTAGGTCATTCCACGATAGATAGGGGAATCAAGGGCCTGATGGGAAAGTATAGGAACCTAGTTAACACGATAGGTCATATCCATGTTGGATGGCGGGTAGGCGTACTGCTGTAAGTCCTACACGTTATTCCGGTGTGGATTAGGGGATAACATGGGAACCCTAAATAAGGTGTCATTAACGCCTGCTGTTTTTGCATGGAGGGATTTTGCGGGCCGGTGTAGAATTCTTTTTGAATGTTTTGTTTTTGGGAAAATCCCTCCATGTTTACATATTTTCGCTATGACATGATGGACTTTTTCTCTTGACATTCTTGGTATTTTATTTGATTCCAATTTGAGATTTTACCATTGTATGTTGTTATTCTTTCCATATTTTGTACTTATATTGAAGTTTTTGTGTTTGCTTTTGAACTGTACATATATTGTTTAAATTTGATATAATATGGCTACCGCCACATTTTTGGATAGACGCGGTGGCTGCTGGACTTAGTGTCACTTACTAGCTATTGTAATAGATACTCTACGGAGTAATTTAGTCCTGGAAGAAACAAAAACACCGTAAGCCTCTGTATTTCCATTTTATAACAATATAGAGACGTTTTCTCCTAGAATTTTTGGCCTTTTGATTTGGCTGGGACCTGGATCTAGGAGTATCGTACCGGTGTGTTTCTATTGGACGCGATTAGGACAGCCGCCGGCGAAATAGATTCTACAGCATTATATAATTTCAGAGGTGGAACATTGAATATCTGAGGTTACTGCTCTGTAATCGCCTCATGGTCTCCAACTTATGCCATCTTTATGCAAACCGAACGGAGAGAAGCGGCTCAGGGACTGTGAGAAAGACGAAGTGGTACATGTAGCCAGTAAATTGTCAGACTCACGCTTAGAGAAAACTGAACTGTCCAGTGCCCGTCGGTGAGGTTTTGCCGTGACTGGGGGTCTGCAGGTAACGACGTGGCTTACCACATAATTAATCACCGATAGAATTCCCCCGGTTAAGTTACTTTGGGGAATTCATCAAATATGACATGAAATAAATAGTTATGCAAATAATACATTAGTTATTTGGTTTACATCTACTGAAGCGTTAAAACCCTTGGACTAACTATTCGGCAAAGTACCGATTAGCTGCAGCCTACGTAAACCGACTAGCGATTCATAGTGCTGTGGAAAGTCGATACCAAGGATAGATTTAGCAATATCGGCAAGGATGAACGTCCATAGGTACTGTCGTCGAATCATAAGGTTGATCGTTAGCTGTCGTGTACTATAAGTAGGAATGACAAGGCCATTCGCAGCTCGTGGTCGAAGTATCGTAGCTTGAGACTTGATGCTACCGGATGGTACGACAGAAACTTGGGTACCTGTGGACACCAAATACTCAGCGTTAGTGAAAAAATCGTGCACGCAAAATAAACGAGTAACCTGGTGTGACGGGGTGGAGACAGTTGAAAATGTAATGACGTGCACCTCGGAGTCTTTTATATTATAGCTATCCACTATTTGAAAACGTTGTTGCACGTATAATATATAGTAAAGGACACTAATAATATCATTGCAGCCTGATAAAAATGGTGATAGATGTATAGCGAAATTAAAACTAATACCGAGTTAAATCCCGATAGATCCAAAAGTCAGAAAGAAGACGGTAGCTCGATGAAGATGTGTACTGATCCGCGGTCTTGCGATATCGAAATAATGTCAAGACCGGGATACAGAAGCGCCTAACAAACACCGAAGAGAAACGTGGAATGGGAATGACACGCTTGGCGCGCGAGAGATAGTCTTTAGTACAGTCAAACAAAAGGAGTATAATAGAACAGTTATTTTTAGAATTAAGTACAATAATAAATGTTTCAATTTCAGTAGTTGTGTTCTTTTCGTAAAAGTATGTCACTGCAGTTGAATAATGGACTCACCGTAATTAACGTCTTTGGATAAAAACGTCAGCTCCCCAATTCTAGCGAGTGCGTAGAGTCGAGAGTGACTATGATCAACACCACAATATAACAGCCATACCTGACCTAGCGACAAAAGTGTTGTAATATGAGTTCAGTCCATGGTAAAATAGCGTGACGACCAGCAGTAGACTATGATCACCACTACAGACCAATTTCGTGCCCGTCACAGAGAAGATAAGTTGATCCATGCAAAAAATATATTTCCTGGCGATTTCATGGTATCGAAATGATACCGAAATCGTGCCCGAAAAGAGGGGCGAAAGTACAGAGACCCTGGAGCCAAAGACGGCAGCAACACAAACGAAAAGTTTGCGCGTACAGAGTAGTAATAAACAAAGAGGTTCAGCAGAACAATCGCTGGTACAACTGTTTAAAGCAATGAATGTTTCTATTAAACCAATAGCTTTCTCTTCATAAAATCATATCAGTACAGTATAATGCATACAATAGGTCAAATAACTTGGTGATATTTTCTTTACAAGTTTTTCATAAGAGGCCCCGTTCGCAATAAAATAGGCCACACTAAGAACTGTTCCAGGTATTGTTACCAAGACATCTTTAAATATATGTAAACCGATCAACCACTCAACTAAGTCAAAGACTAACAATTCTGAAAAAACTGAAACACAAATAATTGGAAAACGTTTACTTATTCACAAGTGCGTGAATGAAAACTTATCGCTTCTTCTTCGGAAGGGCCTACTGGCTTCAACACACATATATTCGACTGGATGAAGATGGAAAACAACAGCATATGCTGGTAGGAAAAAGGCTGAGAAATATAGGATACAGCCACTGCCATTAAGGCTAGACTGTGGTGTGCAATGGTTAGTCCACGCCAGATATCACGCAGACAGTATTCGATTCAAAGGCCATCGTATTACCTACTTGGATAGTGAGTCTAGAAATCCATTTGTTTGTGCAATAAGATAAATTTTAGTTCATTCGTATCGGCCATTTGAATCTTCTTATTGATATTCATTAGTGCGATCGATTAGTCTGTCTTAGCATGTCTGCATCCGATGCGAATGTTCTCGATGTGCTCGTTATGCAACAAGCGTTATATGCAGATATGGTTGGTGCTTAACAGTGGGATCCTAGAAATTCCTAAAACCTGATGCAGTTCTTTTTGATTATACAGAGCGGTTCCTCCGAGTTCCTCCAAGCACTAACGTCCACAGAACTACAGACCCCCTAAATGGGCAATTTAAAAATGGATGATCTATTTATATCGGACTCCTGGATCATCTAATAGCATTTGAAAGGAAAGATCATGAACTATTAAATTTGAACCAGTCTACTAGAATTTGCAGAGTTCTATAGAATTTCTCCGCTTAGCCTTATTTACTATTATCGTTTTTATCATTTAGTTTTTACAAACGACTTGCCGAATATTCCTTCCTCCCGATCTCTGAAATTGTTCAGAAGTCAAACACATACTTCTATCCTGAAAAACAACATGGATATAAGATATAAATTATTGACAATATGATCATTATAACTACTGACATATGCGAGGGAACAATTAGTATAAAGCAATCGCCTTTATTATGCTATCGATCTTTTCAGTCGGTCAATTTTCATTACCAATAAATGGTTACTACAGTTTCTAAAATGCCATTAAATGTACCACATCAAGTAGAATCCTCCTCCTTAACTCATATGCAGATACGAAGTGGTTACAGGAATTATTCTGACTCTTTCTCGGAAGGAAACCTTAGGAAGAACTCTGGCACTTACATGATGCCTTCTGATATAGAGGTGTTTTTATCCCGTAGCAAGTGCAGAGGAGAACAACCACAAGGTATTTAGACAAGGAAATAGACCCTTGAAATAACCGACACAACCGATAGCGACAATGACCATTTCGTGCAATTGACTGAGCTGTTCTCTTCACCCGAAGGGTTCATTTATGTGATTTAATACTAATGTATATCTAAGATAGACACGAAAACGCATACAAGTGTTCTAGTCACTGGAAATCTGTAAGTTGTGCATTTTGCTATTATAAATGTTGGTGACCGCATTTCTTATCGAATCTTTCAGAAGCGGGCTCAAAGTTTTCTCTGGTTCCACAGACACTGCAAACGATCACTCTAGGTGTTGCATTTCAGTTAAACCAGTTATTTACTAAAATTTATTCACCTCAAGTTCGGAAGGAATAAAACAAGGATTATACATCCCCGCTTTCCTTCTATGTAGAACCGAATTTTAAAGACCAAACAGGTAATTATTTCCACCCATCAAGGTGTGAAAGTATTGAGGCTGATTATCTCTGTTTCCTCCTCCATGCTTACACTACTGTCCTTTCGCACAATCTCCACTCCGAAATAGTTAACTTATTTATTTAGTTCTGAAATTTCCTCCTCTTATCAGCATTAGAATTTACCCCTGTTATTTTCCATATTGCAGCTAGCCAATTTACGGCCTAGTAACACAATAGGTGCAGTCACCCTACTGTCTTGAAACAAATGCATTAACGCAGATCACAGGACATGCAAAGTCATAAATTACTGCCACCCGACGAGAATTAGTTCATTCGAGTGCCTAGACTACCATCCACTGGACACTACCAGATACTTGAAACCGTAAGGAAAGAACAAGAATCGAGCGCAAAGAAATCAATTGGTTTATACTAGCTTGTTAAAAGGATATTGGTAAAAGATATCAGAAGCTCAATTAGATGACTTCTAATCTCATACTATGCAAAAGAATAAAATAATACCGCCACAAATAATAAAGCATTCTATTCTTATCTAAATATATTAAGAATTAAGGTTTAAACATTATTTTGCTCGGTTACGCTTTGAATGAACCATTCGTACACGTATTCTGCAAAACGTCACGCCAATATTTTAAAATGTCCTCTGATAGTCCGAAAGAGATCACTGTAAATAAATGGGATATTAGTGCACTAAAACTAGCACTTGATGATGCAGCTAAAGAGGTAATACAGGTTCAAAACAACATTTTGTAGCTATTCATGAAAAAGTATGGTTTACTGGAGACTCACAAACTTTTTGATGGACGATTAATATTATGTACAATATCTGTTCTGATAGCTGGTTTTGGAGTTTTGTTTGATTATTTATACCCACATCCTCAATCAAGAACAGTACTGATAATCTGTGTTACACTTTACTTCTTTCTGTCAGCTATAATAACACTGTATGTAATGTATGTTGAGAAGAATGTCTTCTTCACTGGACTCAAAGAGGATAAGACAGGATTAGATCCAAGTGATTTGTGGACAGTATGCTCACACATGAACAAGTAAATTCACTCTAAAGTCCATATTTTTTTTGTAGGTATGATCCCACTTATCATTTTAGCTTAACGGTATGCGATGGTGTTACCAAAAAAGTCAAGACGCTTTCCGTCGAAAAGTCCGCAGCAGAATTCTTTAACATCAAAGGTGAACTACAGAGAAATCAGTACGACGAATTTTTGCACAATATGGTGTCTGACGTGTATAGTGACAAGAAAGATCGTTAATAATTATAATCTCAATGTTAATTGTCTACATAATATCATTTTATCATTAGAATATCTTGAGTTCAGTCATTTTTCTGTGTCTCTAGAAGCCGTTTGGTCATGTTCTGAAAGTTCATGCCTTCTGCAGTTGTTTCGTCCATGTTAGTATACCTCAGACACTAGCATGCATATTCTTTTGTTTTGACCTTAGACGGTTCCTATGAGGCATTGTTAGTAATTCTGTACCAAATATTGAACTATTTATGATTTTAACTGTTAAAAGTAGTGCCGTGTACATTGTTATAGTAAATACGAACACCTGGATGCACAATTACTTCCACAAAAGGTAGTTGAACATATCATTTGGTACACTAGGTTAACCGTCCTGACTTACTGGTTTGTAATTTACAAAGTGAGAGTTATGAGTGGAGTACTGGTACACAACTACTTATATATTGTGTGGTGTGGGATCACCTAGTATTCAAAGTTATGGACATAAAAAGTCGGCAAGTAGGATCGTAAAGATCGAATCAATAGACTAAGACAGGATAGTGAACAGTTTACTATATGACCTTAAACCATGTAATCAACGAGTGTCGGTTTTAGTTGCATGAGAGGAAGGTGGATTGCTTTTTCGTATGGTCCTCCTAATGATATAAATAAGTGATTAGAGACAGTAGGATATGGTTCGAAATCGAAAACTTGTCTAGATACACCAACTTTTCATCTTAAACGTTATTGTTTCGTATCGGTCCGCATTTTGGTTTATGTAAGTTTTGTAAATTGCGATTCATCTTTTTATATTGAGATGTGTAGTAGGTTAAACCTGTGTGTTGGTTCATATCATCACTAGCACATTTCTCACGGTCAAAAGTGTATTGAGAGCGATATGAATTGAGATTTTATATGACCGGAACATCAAGCTGGTGTACTAGATTTCTTCAGTGTTTCCACAATAGACTCCAAAATGCTGATCAGCAACCGTAGTCGTTTCTAAACCAACTGCTCGTTAAAGCTGGATGTATTGTTTTGGTGTTACAGTGCTCGAAAACTCAACGACCGATAAATGTGACATGGCCAAACATGCAGTGGTGTATTCTATTCGGTCTAAATGGAATGTAAATTTTAGTCAAATCAATTAATGATAATGGCATTTATCTAAACCACAACAACTGCCTACTTATTTGTAAAAAGGGCGTTGTACTCCTGCATCAGACAATATTGCTCGACGAGGCGGTCGGCAACTAAGCATTTGTAACACATTTCCTACCCGTCTCAGCTGACGAAGTTTTACTACTTCATCAATTGATGTGCCACCCTTACATAACACCCTTTTCCTAAACCCAACATTGCTTACTTTATGGTCTCACGGTATACGAGCAATCCTTCGAAGACACCTGCGATCGAATACTAATAACCTACGAATATCCTCTACTCTCACTGGCCATCTTTCACAGCCATAAAGTAGAATGGAACGAACTAATGTGAAGTAGTTTTGTCCTTTGATTAACAGACATTTCGTCTACGCCATGAGTGACGCGAGTTGGAAACAACCAGTCACGTCTTCTGTATCACCGCTGAGATTTAGTCAGACATCAGCACTGGTGAGGCTCCTCAGTCACTGACAAGTGGAATGAGTCATTTTGTTAGATGTAGACTAGCTGGTTATAGTCCGCAAGACGATAGTGACCTTGAACGACGTGGGTCTGAATCGCTTGCGATGGCACAGGTGCATCTTATCTTTGTAATCTCTTAAATACTAATCTTCTGTATTCCCCATAACCTCTCTTTCTAAACTTCATTGAATTATAGTTGAATAATTTCTTTGAAACCTAATCTTCTAAATAACCTCTAATAATTCAACTATCTCTATCACTATATTAAAATTTGAAATGAAAATTGTGTCACTGCGCTAATACGGTATAGCAACACGAACTTAGGTACGTACGTACGAAGTTCTACGTTGTAACTGACTGACTATCAAAAGTTCATGTGCCGATGCAAGCCAATTGTAAAGCAACATTTTACATTTCGATGGGGAAAACTGCATCTCGAACATGCTTGCATTGTTGTTTAGGGTTGTCAGAAGACTGCATTTTTTCAGCGCTTTGATTTAGTTGGGTCAGTCATTAGGTCGATTTCGAGGGTCGCCATGTAAAAAGGTGTTTTCCCGTATGCTTTAATTCAGTAGGCGCTTATCTGAGCACGGTTGCAACAGACAGTCACCATTTTCTGTTCTTGGGGTCGCGACATCCAGGTGTCTTTCCTTGTCTACCTACTTTAGCATTGAAGTCACTAATCACTATTACTACATTATAGCGCCCAACTTTGCAGTTCTGAAAGCTTTCTGTGAAAACCATCTTTTACCTCTTCTGAACTGCAGTCAGTGGGAGCGTAGGCAGAGATGACTAAGAGGCAACAACGACCGTCCATATCTCTTCAAGTCCTTACTCACCCGTTTAGTCCTAAAACATATAGGCGATTATCAGCCAGGATCAATCTAAGAGAGCTAGTTCTGGCCTAGGACTCAATGCTATTACTACACCAGCGAGGCCACGGGGAGCAGCATCAAGGCTTCCAGAAACACGAAGCGTAAACCTTGTTGTGTCTCTATCTTCACTAGGTGAGATCAAATCGATGATTTTACTCGGACCTTGTATGCGCGTTTCAAAGACGCAGGAGACCAGGAATAACGTTTCGCGAACTATAAACGTTTGCATCAGCGGCGCGAGGTGACAAATGAATAAAAGAAGGGTTGGTCGTGCAGATAAGAAAGTTGTTATTAGGAGGTGTAAAAAGGATTTGATTGTGACCGTCTCGCTCGCGGTTACGAGTATGAGTGTGGGGGATCACTTTTGGGCTGCCCAGAACTTTGAAGCGTGCTTTTTGAAGAACCTGAAAAGGGAACCGGGTAAGCATTGGCCTGAGCGACCTGGAAGCGTGACCGCAGGGTGGTCGCGCACGGCATAGGCAATGTGTTAGCTCCGCTTTACAAAAGGCCTTACCGCCGGAGACGGAAATCAATGTGGTAAGGTGAGGCGTGACATCTTAGTGTTAACCTTTTCTAACCGCTTCCTTTGGTTGTGAGAAGGCAGTATCGCAGTTTTCTCAAGCAGAACAGCTTACTGCTGTCATACCACTCTATTATCCGCAATAAGACTTCGCCGTCAGACAGTGAGTTGCTGCTTAGAACTCTACCATTCTCCAATCGACGCTTCAAAATCATTAACAGACAAAATCGCAGCTTCTCTTCGGGTTTACGAAGCAGTGACAACTTAAACCTAATACATACGACTAAATGCAGACGGTAATTAACTTGTCGCTACCTTGGTAATTTTTTCGATTCTTGTTATTTTTATTCGCTTATTTTGTTATGCAGTCTTCGTCAAACTGATTCTTACTTCATGTACGCCAAAATCACCTTTTCGTTAATTCGTTTCTCGAAACTTACGAAATCCCTTCGAATCTTGCTTACTAATTGCGTAACTCTTCAGTTACTAATCCTAGACAACTGGTTTGGAACTTTTCATAACTTCCCTAGTTATCACACGACCCATCCTGAATTCATTTAATTATTGTCCCGCCTCTCCCTATGTTTTTTTTAACTCGAACTCAATTTTTGAATAACCTCAATCCTGTTCACACAGATAAACGACGTATCATTAATCTTTGTTACGTTAATTCCTCCCATCATCACTGTCTGTTGCTTTATACTATTTCATACCCCATTGTTACACTTTATTACATATATGCTTGTAAGCAACCTACGAGAAACCAAAAAATATGAATTCATATTATTTCGCCTCAATTGTCGTCCTGATCTTATTTAAACTCAGATGGAACTGTATGAAAGTTTTTTACTATTTTCTATGTCAAACTACCTATGTTTACCTGTTTTAGAAGCACTATACATCATGTAGTGCTGCTTATTAGTTGCAAGGAAAAAAAGAATCTGATTTATCCTCTCAACATTCCCTATGAAAAATAATGACATTAATACTAATCATTGAATCACAGTTCACTAGCTGAAGCACATAAATACATTGCGAATGATGGAATTGTATACAACATAATCAGCATTTTGAAAAAGTACACTTAAAATCAGTACGAACGAGTCATTTTAATAAAGTGGAATTCATCAGGTTTTTTCATCAAGATCGAAAGTACACTTTGGTAAGAAATATGTATCGAAATACCAATATCTTTGGGAAACATCTTTCCAAAGCTCTTGGTCTGCAACATCAACGGCTATTGGGTCAAACGTACAACTTATTCCCAACCTAGGTAAGAAAAATGTAAGTACCGTATAAAAATCTCAGCAAACATAAACCAGCTATTTGGATTTACATTTAAGAAACAAAAACTGAAGAAAGAAATATGCTATAACAGTTTACATCACCAGACCAAAAAATATATAAAACAGTAAACAATACCAACTACACTGCAGAACAGAGAGGAACAAGTAATCATAAAGAATGAGAGATAATGTTATGTGCAATATTCAGACTTTCGAATTAGCGTGAGTCAGTCAGTCAGTTACAACGTACAACTTCGTACGTACGCATCTAAGTTCATGTTGCCAGACCGCATTAACACAGAGACACAACTGCCAGTTCGAATTCCATAGTCGTACAGATAGTAGAAACATTAGCAATAATAGAGAAGATTAGGGTTCAAGAAGTATAACTCAGTGAGATAAATTTAGAGAGAGAAAGATAGAAGTGACTAGGAATACAGAAGATTAAAGTTTCAGAGAACACAAAGAGTGGATGCACCTTCACTAAGTAGAATTATGTCATCGGCATACTCTAAGTCAGCAAGCGTGTCTCCTGATAGGGCTCACCCCTGAAAAGTCAGATGAAGATAGTGTTACCTCTAAAAGCATATCTATGACACAGTTAAATAAGAATTTGGAAAGTGGAAAACCTTGACGAACACCACTTGAGGTAATCAGTTCCGGTGACAGTTCGCCATAAGCTCTGACTCGACCAGAAGTGTCCGAGTAGAGGGCTTGTGTAAGGTTGATGTACTTCTTTGGTACACCCTTCAATGAGACACTGCCAGAGAACCTCACAATCGACAGAGTCAAATGCCGCCTGAATGTCGGGAAATACTACTATTGTGGGGCGTCTGAACGTGTCTTTGTTTTTAGGAGACCAGGAATAACGTTTCACGAACTATAAACGTTTGCATCAGTGGCGTGATGCAACAAATGAATGAAAGGGTTAGATGTGGAGATAAGAGATATGTTAGGGGGGTGTAAGAAGGATTTTATTGTGGCCAGTTTGGTCGCGTTAGTTTGATGCTTATTTTAATAGCCATCTAATGTTTCGTAACTAATAAGATAGGAGGTCAGATTGAGTTCTAGATAATTTGGAATTTGAACGGTAAAAATATCTCAAGTTTTAGTAAGTATTTTGTACGGTTTTTCAAGTTTCTAATAACCCATAAAGGTTTTTTACTAACATACACTGTTATATGACGTACTTCATTTAGGCTGCTTTGATCATAAGTGGACGCAGGCAACCTACAATAGTCTGTTACTGGTCACTATGTTTCAGAAGACTATCGAAATATTTTATACTGAGAACGAACAATACTTAGGAAAGTGAGTGGATTGTTGTATTTCGAATCCGGGAGTACATCACAGAAATGCTGAAAATTAATAATAGTAATCTCGCTAGTTTTTTTAAAAGTTTTAGGCTATAATTTAGACAAATGTTTAGCTTAATTGAACAACTTCAAGACCGTGTTGTTGAATTCCTATACGACGCTAAGTTTTAGAATATCCCAACCAATCTTTCCTTGTTTACAGCGGAGAGAAATTTGTGAATTAAAATTAGAATAAATTAATGTCTTAAGTGAATACTGTTCAAATAAAAATGAATAATTAAAATTACCTTTTTAAATGCAACCTCATAGTTTCACATGCGACTCCGTGAAAAAATACATTGTCAGGACACAAACCGTTATAATAAGAATATCTTCCTGAGAATGATGGATCTTTCATATTTTGTCGATTAGGGATTGAAAGAAGTTTGGGTAGCCACGTGTGAAATTTTCTCAAATCATTATCATCCTCTGCATATGTATCGAAAAATATTCCAGTAAACCTCGGAATCACCCCATCCTCAATTTCCTTCGCCAGATGAACGACCGCATCTTGCCATCTGTTTGAAATTATTTTGACATTTGGTTTATTAAACCATCCTTCGTACTTCATTTTCTCTAACACCTACAATTGGTACTACATTAGCGGTGGTATTTACAAACTTCAGTAAACCAAACGTAAGTCCTACATTCGAAAAATCTTGTATGTGTTGAAATAAACGCCATTAACAAATGGGTACCATCCGATGAAACGTTTCAAAAATCACTTGTAATTCCAATAACTTGCTACTTTACTACATGTGATATAGTTGAAAGCCTTAGCCAAGATATTAATCGGTGATAATAATTTTCTGATAATTAGTACAGCATGAACACACATAGGAATCACAGGGTGATTATAGTTATCAGCGTTTTAAATCATTCCATTGACATTTGATGTTTCATAATGAAGGGTACAACAACTCTCATGATTCATTATCTTATTTTTACGGCAGTAAAGGTTTAAAATAAACTTTCATTAGGACTAGTATTTCTAGTAGTGCTTATGACGTTTCGAATTTCGAATTAATGCCCTGAAAATATGATTATAAATCCAATATTTCTGACGAGGATATCTACCATGAGTAAGCAAATGTTATGTCCTCGCTAAGTGATGATAATTCAAAGGCTCATTTGATATACTCGAAGTGTATATATATATATATATATATATATATATATTAGTCAGTTACAACGTAGAACGTCGTACGTACGTACATAAGTTCATGTTGCCATACCACATTAGCACAGAGACATAACTGTTAGTTCAAATCCCATAGTGGTAGAGATAGTAGAAGAATTAGCGGTAATGGAGAGTTTTAGGGATTGAAGATATTATTCAAGAAGTAAAATGCAGTGAGATAACTTTAGAAACACAAAGGTGTAGATGATGAGTTCTGACGATTAGAATTTGAGAGAACACAATGACTGAATGCACCTGAACCATTACAAACGATACTGAGCCATGTCATTCAAGACCTCTAACTATCGATGAATTTCGTCTCGCCGACCCCAACCAGGTAGCCTACATCAACCAACATGACTCAGTCCACTTGTCAGTGACTTCATGGATTTGTGCCATGTTTTGGTTTAGCCACCACTAGCTTTCGTCCAACTTATTCCTATATCGCAAAACATAGCTCGACAAGGCAGTCGGTTATTAGGCATACGCAGCACATGTACTAACCACCTCAACTGATGAAGTGTCATTACTTCATCTAATGATTCGCCATCCTTATCTAGTACTCATTTTTAAACGACAGCATTGCTTACTCAGTTGTCCCAGCATACAAGAGCAATGCTTCGAAGATATCTATAATAGAATGCTAATAACCTACAACTATCCTCAAATCTTACCGACCATGTTTCACAGCCATAAAGTAAAATGGAACGAACTGCTCAGAAGCAGAATCGCCCTTTGGTTAGTAGACGGATATCGCGCCTACGCCATAGGTGACGCAAATCGGCAAAAGCCAATCGAGACTTCTGTATCCGTGCTGAGATTTTCCCAGTCACCAGTCCATCTACACTGACAAGACTTCAAAGATAAGTGGAGCGCTCTACACGTTCGACTACTTCACTCCCTATCACTAGTTCAGGTGCCAATGCAAGCCAACTGTAAAGCACCTTTTCACATTTCGAGGGGGAAAACCGCATCCCGAACATGCTTGCATTGTTGCTCAGGGTAGTCAGAAGACTCTGCATTTTGTCAGCATCTTCACCGAATAGAACTATTTCATCGGCATATTCTAAGTCAAAAAGCGAGCCTCCTGGTAGAAGGTCTACTCCTGAAAATTCAGACAAGGATAAGGATATATGTAGCAACATGTCTATGAAAAAATCGAAACGGAATGGGGAAGTGGACATCCCTGACAAACACCACTTGAAGTAAAGAATTCCGGTGACAGTTCGCCATAAACTGTCACTCGACTTGTAGTGTTTGAGTAGAGAGCTTCTATGAATTGAATGTACTTCTCTGGTACACCTTTCAATGACAGACACTGCCACAGAACTTCACGATCCACTGAGTCCGATGGCGCCTTAGGGTCAAGGAAGACAACTATTGTATGTGTGTATGTGTTCTAGGACCTGCCGACCGTAGCTGCTACCTTGACGTGGTGGTCGAGCTTGCCTATCGTGATGACCCAAACGAGTTATATTGGCTGGAACTTATGTTTCTGAAGGTTCTACCATACCAGGCAGGTCCACTGGAGAACGATGAGACTAAAAGCAGCTACTCAAGGTCTGAGGGTGAAGTCGTACTGCTGACTGCAGAGGGGTGTGACAGCAGTAAGGTGTTTCCCTCGGACAACCAGCATCTGCAGCGATGCTGCCTTCTCACAAGGAAGGAAGGGTTAGAAAAGATTGACCCTAAAAATGTCACACCTCACCTTACCTCACGGATTTCCGTCTCCGTCGGTAAGGGTGCCCACTAAGGGCTTTCAAGAGCGGAGCTAACACTCAAAAAACTTCTCATAAAAAGGCCGTGCGTGACCGGCCTCAAGCAGTTGTCCCTTGGGCTCTGCGATCACGCACCCAGGTCCCTAAGACCAACGCTAATCTACCTACCTTTTCAGGTTCCTCAAGAAACAACCTTCCACGGTGTGGGCAGCCGGGAAATGACAACCGCCCTCATACCCGTAACAGCACACGACACCGCATTGGTCAAAATCAAACCCCTCCTATACCGCCTAATACCTCTCTTATCTCCACGACTAACTCCTCTCACATTCTTTTATCTCACTGCACAGCTAATGCAAACGATGCGAGTTCACGAAACGTCATTTCTGGTCTCCTGAAACCCCGTTCTACACTACATGTTGGAGCATTTAATGTACGGACATTGTGTCAAATAGGGCAACAGGCTTCCTTGGCTAAGACCTTAGAATCTCGTGCCATCGATGTATGCTGCGTCTCGGAAACGCGCATACGCATCATTCACTTGACCTCACCATGTCAAGATAAAGAAGCAACTCGATTTACTCTTCGTGTATCCGGTAGCCATGATGCTGCTTCCAGGGGCCTCGCTGGTGTAGGTGTAGCATTGAGTCGTAGGGCAGAACAATCTCTCCTTGACTGGATCCCTGTAGATAGTCGCCTGTGCGCTGTCCGACTAAATGGGACAGTAAGGATTCTAAAGGATAGGGACACTCGTCGTTGCCTCTTCGTCATATCAGCCTACGCCCCCACTGACTGCAGTCCAGACGATGTAAAAGATGAGTTTTACAGAAAGCTTTCGGACCTCCTCCAAAAAGTTAAGCGCTCTGATATAATAATAATGGCTGGTGACTTCAATGCTCAAGTAGGTAGACTAAGTGAGCAGGAGAGACACCTAGGTGGATGTTATGATCTCACGGCTCAAAGAACAGACAATGGCGACCATCTGTTGCTATTGTGCTCCGATAACCAACTATTTCTAGCAAACACTAATTTTAAGCATAAGGAAAAACATCTTTTGACCTGGCGACCGCCGAAGTCGTCTCAACGTTGGACGCAACTAGATCATATCGCCATCAGTCACCGATAAAGAGGGGTTCGATAGAGGACTGTCGCTTGTTGAGGGGCACATGTTTAGATTCAAATCATGCGCTAGTGCGAGCGCGTATTTGTTTGAGGCTTACTGGACGTAGGAAAGACACCGTAAGGAAGCCTCTTTGGGCTTTACTTGATGATAATCAAGCTGAGAAAATATTTCAGGAGGAACTAGAAAAACAGTAAGGCGACCATGCAAGGGATTCCCATCCGGATTCAGGTTGGAATGATATCAAGAAGACTGTGGAAACAACAGTGATATCTACTAGTAAGGTAAACCATAAGGCTAAGATGAAGCCGTGGATTTCAGTCGCATCCACCGAACTGATGGATGCTCGAAAACGCATCCCACCTGACTCTGAACATGATGAACAGCGTAGTCAGCTTAAGTGCAGAATACGTAACGACCGCGAACAGTGGTGGGTGGCGAAAGCAAAAGCGATGGAAAAGGCAACGGCGATAGGCAACACTAGACAACTATTCAGACTCATCAAGGAAACCAGCATTAGGAACCCGAATGTGAGTGAGACTATCTCGGAAAAGGATGGTCTTATTATACATTCTCAATCCAGGAGACTGGACCGATAGGCAGAACACTTTAGGGACCAGTTCAACTGGCCTCGAGCCACACTTCGGTTGCCCACGATCCCGAGTCATCCTGAAAAGCAAATCGATTTAAGTCCTCCCAGTCTACATGAAGTTGAGAAAGCTATAGGAAATCTAAAGCGAAGTAGAGTAGCAGGTCCTGATAGGCCTACCCCTGAGATGTTTAAGGATGGTGGTCCAGTTTTAACAGTTAGACTGACCGAGATCATAGGTAGAATCTGGGGACTGGACGTAATCCCATCTGACTGGTCTCAGTCGCTAATTGTCCCAATCTACAAGAAAGGACAAAAGTCCTCTTGTGACAGTCACAGGGGAATAAGTCTAACTAATATAGTTTCTAAATTGTTAGCCTCGATTATAATTAGACGCCTAAATAGAATTCTTGAAGAGCAGACTCGAGAAAACCAGGCTGGTTTTCGACCTGGACGTGGTTGTATAGACCACATCTTCACACTACGACAGGTCCTGGAACACATACACACATTTCGACGTCAGACAATAGTCGTGTTCCTGGACCTAGAAGCGGCATTCGTCTCAGTGGATTGTGAGGTTCTGTGGCAGGGTCTGTCATTGAAAGGTGTACCAAAGAAGTACATTAACCTTATACAAGCTCTCTACTCCAACACCACTGGTCGAGTGAGAGCTTATGGCGAACTGTGATCTGAATTCTCTACATCAAGTGGTGTCCGTCAGGGCTGTCCACTCTCTCCATTCTTGTTTAACTTTGTCGTAGACATCCTCTTAGAGTTAACATTAAGCTCGTCAGATTTTTAAGGGGTTGACCTTCTACCAGGAAAGTCGCTTACTGATCTAGAATATGCCGATGACATTGTCCTACTTGGTGAAGACGCTGACAAAATGCAGAGTCTTCTGACTAACATAAGCAACAATGCAAGCATGTTCGGGATGCGGTTTTCCCCCTCGAAATGCAAAATGTTGCTTCAAGATTGGGTTGCATCGGAACCTGAACTAGTGATAGGGATTGAAGTAGTCGAGTGTGTTGATCGCTTCACTTATCTGGGGAGTCTCATCAGTGCTGATAGACTGGTGACTGACGAAATCTCAGCACAGATACAGAAAGCTCGATTGGCTTTTGCCAACCTGCGTCACTTATGGCGTAGGCGAGATATCCGTTCGCTGACCAAGGGACGGGTGTACTGCGCAGCAGTTCGATCCGTTCTCCTATATGGCTGTGAAACATGGCCGTTAAGAGTAGAAGATGTCCGTAGGTTACTAGTATTCGATCATAGATGTTTAAGAAGCATTGCTCGTATACCGTGGGACAACCGAGTAAGCAATGCTGTCGTTAGGAAACGGGTGCTGGGTAAGGATGGCAGATCAGTAGATGAAGAATTGAAACTTCATCAGTTGAGGTGGTTGGGACATGTGTTACGTATGGCTAACCACCGACTGCCTCGACGAGCTATGTTTTGTAGTGTACGAGTATGTTGGAAGAGAGCTAGGGGCGGCCAGACCAAAACATGGCAGAAATGAATGAAGTCACTGACAAGTGGACTGAGTCATGTTGGTAGATGTAGACTACCTGGTTGGGGTCCGCGAGACGAAAGTCACCAATGGTAAGCGACCTTGAACGACATGGCTCATTGCCGTTTGCAATGGCGCAAGTGCATTCATTCGTCGTGCACTATCAAATCCTAATCTTCTGGATTCGTCAGCACCTCTACCTTTGTCTTTCTAACATTATCTCACTGGATTATACTTCCTGAATAATATCTTCAAACCCTAGTCTTCTTCATTACCATCTACTATCTTTATCACTATGGGATTAGATTTGACATTTGCATCTCTGTGCTAATATGGTATGGCAACCTGAACTTATGTACATACGTAAGAAGTTCTATGTTGCAACTGACTGACTGACTGTTCCAGGACCTGTCGTAGTGTGATGATGTGGTCTATACAGCCACATCTTTGTCTGTAACCAGCCTGGTTTTCTCCAGTCTGCTCTTCACGAGCTCTAGTTAAGCTTCTAAGGATTATCGAGGCTAATAACTTAGAAACTGTAGTAGTTAGACTGATTCCCCTGTGATGGTCACAAAAATTCTTTTGTCCTTTCTTATAAATTGGGACCAGTCAGATGGGATTAAGTCCACTTCCCAAATTCTACCTAAGGTCTTGGTTAATCTATCTGCTAAAACTGGACCACCATGCTTATAAATCTCAGAGGTAAGCCTGTCAGGGCCTACTGCTCTCCCTCGCCTTAGATTTCCTATAACCTTTTCAACTGCATAAAGAGTCAGAGGATTTACATCAACCTGCCATTCAGGTTCACTGGAGATCGTGGGTAACCGAAGGGTGGCTGAAGGCCAGTTGAATTGATCCCTGAAGTGTTCTGCTTATCGGTCCAATCTCCCGGGTTGAGAGTGAATGATACGACCATCCTTTTCCGAGATAGTCTCACTCACATTCGGGTTCCTAATGCTGGTTTCCTTGATGAGTCTGAATAGTTGGCTACTGTTGCCTATCGCCGTTGCCTTTTCCATCTCTCTCGCTTTCGCTACCCACCACTGTTCGCGACCATTGTGTAGGCTTCTTATCAAGCTGCACTTAAGCTGATTGCGCTCCTAATCATGTTCAGAACCGGATGGGATGAGTTTCCGCGCATGCATTAGTTTGGTAGATGTCAATAATTTTTCTTAATATTATGTTTTACCGTACCGGCAGATATCACTGCTGTTTCCACAGCTTTTTGGATATCATTCCCAGCTGCTCCGGGGTGGGCATCACGTTAATAGTTTTTTAGTTTCTCTTGAAATATATTCTTAGCTTTGCTGTCATTAAGTCAAACAGTAAGGAGCTTCTTTGAAGTCCCTTTCTTTCGCGCAGTTAGACACACGCAAAAGGCGCTCTTACGAGAGTATGGTCTGAATTTAAACATGTGCTCCAGAATGTGCGGCAGTCTTCAGTGGAGCCCGACCACCATATCTAGGGAGCAGATACGGTCGGGGTAATAATCCAGTAATTATTTTTAAGGATTAATCTTCCAATAAACAGTTATGACTTATGAAATTAACTGAGTGAGGAATGAGATGATCTAATGAAAACAAATGGTAGATTTTGTGAATTCACTAGAATTGGAAAATACATGGTCTTGGATTTAACTGATCCAAAATTACTTTGAAACATCAAGTTTGTAGATTCCATTTTACATCACATAATGGATGCGCATTGCCGTTTAGTCCTAAAAAAGCACAAACGAATCTAGACAACACCAATTAAGCATTTTTGTTAAAGATCGATAAAAATTTAGAATATTTTCTTACTAAAATGTTTAAGAAAACACGTTTATTAGCAGTTGTTAATTTCGTTTAGAGATGAAGTACTTTAATGGATAATCTGAGATATAACCAAAACGTCTGATATCTCCCCATAGACTAATAAATATCTGAACCATTTAAAGGGAAAATCTCATCCAGTTCTCATCCATCAAGTTCGGAGATAGATGAACTTACAGCTATAAGATCATATGATAGACGTCGACTGAGAATCCAGTATTATCTACTGTGAGTAATGTAGTAAAGTAGGTTCTGAAATACAACTGGATTAACTACGATTGAATGCATTAGGAGATTTGTAGCCAACATAACAAAGGAAGTTAAGGTAGAAATAAAGAACAGTAGTAAAGACCTCGCTCACCGACGTTTATGTTTGGATGAATAACTTGTAAATTAAAACTTACCTCCGGATGGGCTTCTATTATATAGTGCGAGTCTGGCGAATATTTTTGTATAGCTGTGTCAACAATCCCCATACCAAACCCAACATTTAGAACTCGAATAGGTGAACCGACACTTGTATCTTTCTCATCTGCGTGACAAATCCATGCTGCATGTCGCTCCATTATTGGAGTTTCCCAATCCATCATGACAGCCAGATGAGTATTAGTGTCGATGAGGCATTTTTTGTCATCAGAATACTCCAGTCGACTAGCAAGGTAAGAAGCATTAAGAGGTCCTGATGAATTGTTTGCATTTGCGTTTACAGTTTTATTAAGATCCATAGAATCAATATTTTCCAAAGACTGTCCTGGATCTGGATTGTTTACTGCGATAGATAAAAGTAACTCAGACATAACCGCATGATTCATCAGGATATCAATACAATCTTGTTGTTTGTTCCTAGCAGCATAATCCCCGGCACATAAATAACTTCGATCGACTGCATTCCACGGAGCACCTTCAGATAATAAGTAATTTACAATGTCTGTGTGTCCAGCTCCTGCTGCAACCATTAAGACGCTCATTCCAATTTCGAAATCCTGTTTAGGAAGTGAAGGACAATTAAGTTGAAATTTACAAGATAAAGGGTTTCTAGGATGTACGACTAATACCAAATACGTATGTTTAACTCCACTTATCAAGTACCTTTTCGAAGCGAATTATAAGTAATCTTGCCTATAATTTTTAAGGTGAAGATTTTTGAGCACTTAAGTTTGGAGATGTACATTTTTAGTGTTGTACAAATCCGGAAACTTTTAGTAAGTGTAGCATAAAACGTCTCCCGAAACATGAATACGTCCAGTTCGAATTTAGGGCCATGATTCGTTGTGATTACATTAGCATCCTGACAAACGAATGCTTCATAAAGACATCAAGCTGTCATATTTTTTATTGTTGTCTTAAGAATTATTTGAAGTCATATAATTGACAGCGGTTGGAAGCAAAAGAGTCGATAAATCTAAATTAATTTAGACTATAAAACGACTGCATAATACTTCTAGCCTTACAAGTTAGTTTCAGTTGACCATACTGTAAAAGCGGATTCACCAAATTCAACTTTACGGTAATTTATAAATACTAAAATTCCTGGTAAAACCATTGCAGTTTGTCGTTTTTGGGCTAAAAGTTTTTATAACGGTTCACTGCTTGCTTCCTACAGTTGCAAGACAATTGTAGTTTTGCAATATACATTTAACCGTACTAGCGACAATACAATTTCAAATCCCGACCGTAGCTGCTACCTTGACGTGGTGGTCGAGCTTGCCTATCGTGATGACCCAAACGAGTTATATTGGCTGGAACTTATGTTTCTGAAGGTTCTACCATACCAGGCAGGTCCACTGGAGAACGATGAGACTAAAAGCAGCTACTCAAGGTCTGAGGGTGAAGTCGTACTGCTGACTGCAGAGGGGTGTGACAGCAGTAAGGTGTTTCCCTCGGACAACCAGCATCTGCAGTGATGCTGCCTTCTCACAAGGAAGGAAGGGTTAGAAAAGATTGACCCTAAAAATGTCACACCTCACCCTACCTCACGGATTTCCGTCTCCTTGGGTAAGGGTGCCCACTAAGGGCTTTCAAGAGCGGAGCTAACACTCAAAAAACTTCTCATAAAAAGGCCGTGCGTGACCGGCCTGAAGCAGTTGTCCCTTTGGCTCTGCGGTCACGCTCTCAAGTCTGGAAGTGACAACCGCCCTTATACCTGTAACAGCACACGAGACCAAATTAGTCCAAATCAAATCCTTTCTACACCTCTTAATAACTCTTTTATCGCCTAGACCAACCTTTCTTTCGATCGTTTATCACCTCACACCACTGAAGCAAATAGTATGAGCTCACGAAACATTAATCCTTATCTCTTGAAACCCCGTATTAAATTACATATAGGAGCTTTCAGTGTTCGAACCCTATGCCAACTCTGGAATCTCGGGAGATCGATGTATGTTGCGTCTCCGAAATGCGCATACAAGATCCGAGTAAAATCATCATTTTGATCTCACCTAATGAAGATAGAGACACAACAAGGTTTACGCTTCGTGTTTCTGGAAGCCCTGACGCTGCTTATCGTGGCCTCACCGGCGTAGGTATAGTAATAAGTCCTACGTCAGGACTAGCTCTTTTAGAATGGACCCCGATAGACAGCCGCTTATGCGTCGTCCGACTAAACGGGACAGTACGGACTCGGAAGGACAGGGACATTCGCCGCTGCCTCCCCGTCGTATCTGCCTACGCTCCCAGTGACTGCGGTCCAGACGATATGAAAAACAAAATTTATAGAAACCTCTTTAAACTTCTCCAAAATCTTAAGAGCTCTGATATAGTTATAATGGCTGGTGACTTCAATGGTGAAGTAGGTAGACTGAGCGAAAAGGAAAGACACGTGGCTGGATCTTATGGCGTCGCGACTAATAGAACAGATAATGGCGACCGTCTGCTGCAGGTATGCTCAGATAACCGCCTATTCCTAGCAAACACTAACTTTAGGCATAAGGTAAAACACCTTTGGACCTGGCGACCCCCAAAGCCGACCTAATGATGGACCCAACTAGATCACATCGTATAACCCATCGGTGAAGAGGTTCTGTTGGAGACTGCCGCTCATTATGGAGCACTTGTTCAGACTCAGACCATGCTCTAGTGCGAGAGCGTATTTGTTTGCGCCTTACTGGACGCAGGAAAGCTGTTAGGGCTCCGCTTTATGATAATAAAGCTAAGAATATATTTCAGGAACTAGAAAAACAGTTAAGCAGCCATTTAGTAAGTGATGCCCCCACCCCGAGGCAGCTTGGAATGATATCAAAAAGGCTGTGGAAACAACAGTGATATCTACTAGTAAGGTAAACCATAAGGCTATAATGAAGCCGTGTATATCAGCAGCAACTACCGAACGGATGGATGCTCGAAAACTCATCTCGCCTGGCTCTGAGGAGCGGAGACAGCTTAGGCACAGACTGATAAGAAGCCTACACAATGGTCGCGAACAGTGGTGGGTAGCGAAAGCGAGAGAGATGGAAAAGACAACGGCGATAGGCAACAGTAGCCAACTATTCAGACTCATCAAGGAAACCAGCATTAGGAACCCGAATGTGAGTGAGACTATCTCGGAAAAGGATGGTCGTATCATTCACTCTCAACCCGGGAGATTGGACCGATAAGCAGAACACTTCAGGGATCAATTCAACTGGCCTTCAGCCACCCTTCGGTTACCCACGATCTCCAGTGAACCTGAATGGCAGGTTGATGTAAATCCTCTGACTCTTTATGCAGTTGAAAAGGTTATAGGAAATCTAAGGCGAGGGAGAGCAGTAGGCCCTGACAGGCTTACCTCTGAGATTTATAAGCATGGTGGTCCAGTTTTAGCAGATAGATTAACCAAGACCTTAGATAGAATTTGGGAACTGGACTTAATCCCATCTGACTGGTCCCAATTTATAAGAAAGGACAAAAGAATTTTTGTGACCATCACAGGGGAATCAGTCTAACTACTACAGTTTCTAAGTTATTAGCCTCGATAATCCTTAGAAGCTTAACTAGAGCTCGTGAAGAGCAGACTGGAGAAAACCAGGCTGGTTACAGACAAAGATGTGGCTGTATAGACCACATCTTCACACTACGACAGGTCCTGGAACACATACACACATATAGGCGTCCGACAATAGTTGTCTTCCTTGACCCTAAGGCGCCATCGGACTCAGTGGATCGTGAAGTTCTGTGGCAGTGTCTGTCATTGAAAAGTGTACCAGAGAAGTACATTCAATTCATAGAAGCTCTCTACTCGAACACTACAGGTCGAGTGACAGTTTATGGCGAACTGTCACCGGAATTCTTTACTTCAAGTGGTGTTTGTCAGGGATGTCCACTTCCCCATTCCGTTTCGATTTTTTCATAGACATGTTGCTACATATATCCTTATCCTTGTCTGAATTTTCAGGAGTAGACCTTCTACCAGGAGCCTCGCTTTTTGACTTAGAATATGCCGATGAAATAGTTTTATTCGATGAAGATGCTGACAAAATGCAGAGTCTTCTGACTACCCTGAGCAACAATGCAAGCATGTTCGGGATGCGGTTTTCCCCCTCGAAATGTGAAAAGTTGCTTTACAGTTGGCTTGCATTGGCACCTGAACTAGTGATAGGGAGTGAAGTAGTCGAACGTGTAGAGCGCTCCACTTATCTTTGAAGTCTTGTCAGTGTAGATGGACTGGTGACTGGGAAAATCTCAACAGAAGTCTCGATTGGCTTTTGCCGATTTGCGTCACCTATGGCGTAGGCGCGATATCCGTCTACTAACCAAAGGGCGATTCTGCTTCTGAGCAGTTCGTTTCATTTTACTTTATGGCTGTGAAACATGGTCGGTAAGATTTGAGGATAGTTGTAGGTTATTAGCATTCTATTATAGATATCTTCGAAGCATTGCTCTTGTATGCTGGGACAACTGAGTAAGCAATGCTGTCGTTTAAAAACGAGTACTAGATAAGGATGGCGAATCATTAGATGAAGTAATGACACTTCATCAGTTGAGGTGGTTAGTACATGTGCTGCGTATGCCTAATAACCGACTGCCTCGTCAAGCTATGTTTTGCGATATAGGAATAAGTTGGACGAAAGCTAGTGGTGGCTAAACCAAAACATGGCACAAATCAACGAAGTCACTGACAAGTGGACTGAGTGATGTTGGTAGATGTAGGCTACCTTGTTGGGGTCGGCGAGACGAAATTCATCGATAGTTAGAGGTCTTGAATGACATGGCTCAGAATCGTTTGTAATGGTTCAGGTGCATTCAATCATTGTGTTCTCTCAAATTCTAATCGTCAGAACTCATCATCTACACCTTTGTGTTTCTAAAGTTATCTCACTGCATTTTACTTCTTGAATAATATCTTCAATCCCTAAAACTCTCCATTACCGCTAATTCTTCTACTATCTCTACCACTATGGGATTTGAACTAACAGTTATGTCTCTGTGCTAATGTGGTATGGCAACATGAACTTATGTACGTACGTACGACGTTCTACCTTGCAGCTGACTGATTCAGCTGACATTGTGACTTAGTAGTAAAACTACCCAAGTTCTAATATTATTTTTGTAAGTGTAAACGGTGTTCCATATATAATGGCCTGGAGAACTGGGTCGTAAAGTAAACCCTCAGAAAGTGGCTTAAATTTGAGAACACAAATTAGTATTCCGTAACTGACTTAAATTACGTTGAATAAAAGGGAAATCTTCATATTCGGAATCGAAACTTAACTCCATGGTATAATACTGATTATCCGTGAAATACAATCGATAGATGGGTTTTTATACCAGTTACCTCAAATTCGATTTATTATTGACATAACTTTCTCCAATTTTCGATGGAAATGGTACCAACCTGTAATGCTTACAAACCCCCTTAAATTAAGGGTGCCTGAATTGGTTTTGAACTTTTTGGACAATAAGTAAACCGTTTTAATGATAGATATATGGTGCCTAGCTTGGTTTGAAATGGAAAGCACTTGAAACAAGAATAGTTGGTCTAAAATTAGCCGGAGAAAATATTCCCCAAGTTTCAAATGGATTTCAACTAAAATTATCAGTCACTAGCCAGCTTAAGACGTACGAAAGCAGGTAAGACTTTAAAACAAGAAACATTTGCACACCAACAGCGATAACCCCAATATATGAACAACGGAAATAAAAATATGAGCAAAATTAACTGGGAGTAATCTTTGTAAAAGACGGAATATAACAAACCTGGTAGTAAATATCTGCATCTTTTTCCTCCACTAGTCTTTTTACTTCCTCAAAATTACCATCATGACATGCAACAACAAGCGCAAGATCTACTTGCCGTGGTTGAACCTCGTACATTTTTTTGAAAAAATATAAACGTATATAGAAGGCAAAATGCTGAGCGTTTGTTATTCCTTAAAATGAAGGCAGACCTAAGAAGTCTGTAAACAAAATAAGGCGAAAAATTGTGAAATTCACTTGGAAAGTTAGGATTAGATTATTATTAGATAGTAATAAATAATAATGTATTGAGAATCTATGTTTGAAATAGCATTTGTAATATATTCTATACTACTGGAATTACGCAGGTTTGACATTGCCACTATCTTCGTCATAAAGTTCGAACTAGATTGAGGGATAAAAATTAAAACTAGTTGATTTTAATAAACAAAATTTTACAGTGGAAATCTCATATAAACTCGATGTTTAATGTTTTGAAACTACCGGTTCAAATTAAATAAGAAGTCGACATAGGACAATCTGGTTACCACCAATACTTATCAATGAAAGAACTTTACAAGACGCGCAAGAGTATGAGAAGCAATGTAGGGTCTGGTACAAGAAACTAGCTAATAAAGAATGAAATCAGTTTTCTTTGATGTTACCCGAAATGGTAATTTCAAATGGATTTTACTTAAGCTCGGATTCAGATTGAATCTTTAACGGCTTAAGTATGATTTTAATTCACAAATTCGAGGAACTATAATTTCTTAATCTTCAATAAGTTATTTTATTTCTGCTTCACCTTTATTAATTTTTTATTGTTCAGAAGCGTAGCATCTCAAGTTAATGTGAGTTGTGTTTATCCTCCTTAACTACATTTAACAAGTCATTACGGTGGAAGAATGTGCCCCACTGAAGTATACACTTTTTATAAAATGGCTGTCCAGTAAGATACATCTAACTATACACAACTACGCGTTTTTGTTTAGTACTTAAACTTTTGCAAACGGACAATTATAATAGAGAGCTTGATTTGCTTAGCGTACCTGGATTTCTAAGACAATATGCGATACCTTTATTATAGCCAGCGAACTTAATGTAAAATGAGAAGTTAAGCTAGACATTTTGGCATCAACAAGTTTACTAAACGAACTATCAACCTGGTATGTAAGAAGTTGAATGATTGAGATTTCGATCTTATAACAACGTAAATTTACCGGATGAGGAATAAAACTCTCACAAAATTCAACAGGATCGAGTGTCCGAAAAGCCGTATACAGGCTTTTTAGATTTTATATATATTAAGGAGTTTTCAGCCACATCACTCATCTGAAAATATCTGATCAGACCGCTGTCCTTTAAAAATATTTGATAGCTCTGAGATACAATTGTCCAACCCCCAGGTGTGATGAACTTAGCTTGATGGTTTGCAAAATTATAGAAAACTATCGTCGTGAATGATAAAGTATTTGCTCTTATTAGATTTAGTTGACAATTGTATCTAAGGCATTGCAAGTTTGTTAGTCTATGCTCCGTATGAATTGATGGTACTAGAAGGTTCTTGAGAATTCCAAGACGATTCCTAAGACTGCGAAAAAAGTATAACAGTCCATAGATGTTAAGTATACCGTCTAATGGAAAATGTCAACAGACTAGTTTTCCCGGACAAAATAGCAGTCATTACAATAATGAGCCCATAACTACCTCTGATAGTAATATTAGAGTCTAAATATACTGGAAAACATCTTAATTTGCCAACCGAGAATGAACTAAGCGATTGCATAAGAGACACAAGGAAACATGCTCAACGATATTCAAAAGACGCACTCTGTTGAGGTCATGTACTAAGGTCAGTTACGATGCATTTCCAATATCCAATATCCAATATCTTTTTCACGAGCTAGTGTAAACCAATTTGATTTCTTCGCGCTCGATTCTTGTTCTTTCGGTACGGTTCCAGGTGTTCGGTAATGTCCAATGGATGGAGGTCTAGCCACTCGACTGTCTAATTCTAGTCAGTTAGCAGTTGGTTGTGAGTTTGTATGTCTCGGGATTTGAATGAAACGTTTGTTTCAGGGCAGTAGGGTTTCTGGATACTAGCAGCCGTCACATTACCAAACCGGAGATCAGTTAGTTGCAATGTGGAGAGTAATAAGGGTAATAAGGGTAAATTAAAATGATAATATGAGTAAAATTTCAGAACTGAGTAATGTATAGATGAATTTAGTTTATTAATTGGTAGTGAAGATTGTGAGAGAGGACCGAAGTGTAAGCAAGGGAGAGGAATAGGCGAGACAGATTAATTGAGTGATCTGAGGAGATGGCAATGGTAACAACTAGCAGGTCTCAAGATATGCATCAGGCACAGCTTGTCCAAGAGGGAGATGATAGTCCGCATGTGAGCACGTGATTATCAAGTCTCTTCTAAAGCAGTCCACTGAGGGGGCTGTAACTACCTCGGCTGGGAGAGCATTCCAAGTTGCGACGACTCGCAATGAGAAAAAGTGTGCACGAACCTGAGTGTTTGCTCTTTGATGTGCAATCTTTTGAGGATTGCCTCGAGGGGAGTGGTGGTGATGCATCGGTAAGATGCTCACATTGGGATGGTTGGGCGTGTTTAATATGGTGTACGCCATAATCAGGTCACCTCTGATTCTCCTGTAGCTCAGTGGGAATAATCCCAAGAGCTGGAGTCTATCGTCGTACGGTTTATTTTTCAGCCCTATCACCCATTTGGTTGCTCGTCTCTGCACTCGATCCAAGAGATTAATGTCTGTTTTAAGCATAGGGGGTGCGATGACGTTGTGAACCTCCAAGTGTGGGCGCGCGTACGTCTTAAAGAGGGTTAAAAATAATTTCGGGGTGATAGCACCAAGCTGTCTTCGCATAAAGTGAAGAGTCGCATTTGCCTTGGCTGCATCCCCTACATAGTTCGGACTCGTGTGGAGGCTTTCTGTGGTTATTAAACCAAGATCGCGCTCTGAGGAGACATTAGGGAGCGGACTTCCATTGAGAAAGTAGGTGGTTTGCGTCATATGAGGCAGGAAATGCATGACGTGGCACTTCGGTTGGTTAAGTTTTAAACCGTTTTTCACTGCCCATTCCTCAATGGATGTAAGGTCCTTTTGAAGCTCAGTCGAATCCTCTTCGCTTCTAATGGATCTCCAGATCTTCGCATCGTCTGCGTAGATCAGTGCCGGTGAGCTAACTAAGCTTAGCAGGTCGTTAATGAATATCAGGAAGAGGAGTGGGCCTAGGATGATTGCGAACGTAATCGAAGCTTTTGCTCAACAGCCTTCTGTATCTGGTGCTTCGGATTATAAATCTAGGCTAATTTGATGAGTAAAAGAGAAATATTCGTAAATTATACCAATATACTAGATGGAGTCTTTTAGAATACGTGAAATTTTCCTAAAGAGTAGGTGGTGTGCCTATAGTTCGTCACATTATATTGTGCCTCTTGTTTGTCAGTATTGCCCTTAAGTCGGGCGTTAGGATCGGGCTGAATTTTACGGGAGTACTCAAGGTGCTGTAAGCCATTAAACAGTCACCTATGATACGCCTGCAGTCTAATGGATATAGAACTAGTGACTTAAGGCGTTCTTCACAAGTTTTAGATTTGTATCTTCGAACGTATTTCGAGGCTCTCGCTTAGAAGTGGGGATAAAACGAATATTCTGAGGTCGACAACATTTTGTCTGCAACACTTTTCAGACTGAGAACACCATAAACAAAACAAAACCATAAGTTACAAATTTTTGGGGATGGATGGTATATTTGAACGATGGTGTGGATATCGAGAAGCGTGTGAACTAAGCTTGCTAGTTGACTTGAAATACCTTGCGTGGCGTATCCAATGGTTGTCTAATGTCGATGCGTGTCAAAGTGCCTTCGGTTAGGGACTGTTTAGTAGATCTGAGTAGCTCAGCATCAAGGTTGGAGGCTTACAGAATTGTTTATGTTTTGGAACTTATTTACCACCACAGATACGTTCCGATGTATTCGTGTACCTTCACAAGGAAAGAGAAAATACTCCATTTCTTTACTGAAAATGGAGATGAATTAATTTGTTGAAAATTTGAAGTAATTTTCTAATTTGAAATTGTCTAACAATGCGTTCCAAAGCTTTCAGTGCCAGGTGTGCTCAAAAAACATTTCTATTGTAGTTTGCTATGACCTTAGATCATTAGGTAACAAGACCCCTAGATATTTTCAGCTCCGTACAGTTGAAGAGGAGAGATAACAAAATTCCGATTGTCTAATACATAGTTAAGTTTAAGTTAAGTAGTTACGCCTGTTAACCGCAATGGAGCATAGGCCGCCCACCAGCAGCATTCTCCAACCAACTCTGTCCTGGGCTTCCATCTCCACTTCTGTCCAATGTTTGTTCATTCCTCTCATATCTTTCTCTATTTCTCGGCGTAGTGTATTCTTTGGCCTTCCTCTTTTCCTTTTGCCTTGAGGGTTCCATGTGAGGGCTTGTCTTGTGACGCAGTTAGGTGCTTTTCGTAGTGTATGTCCTATCCACTTCCATCGCTTCTTCCTGATTTCCTCCTCCACTGGAATCTGATTTGCTCTCTCCCACAGTTCGTTGTTGCTGATGGTGTCTGGCCAACGAATACGAAGTATTTTGCGTAGGCAGCTGTTAATAAACACTTGTATCTTCTGGATAATGCCTTTCGTAGTTCTCCATGTTTCCGCTCCATACAGTAGAACTGTCTTCACATTTGAATTGAATATCCTGATTTTGGTTTTGTTTGAAAGTTGTTTGGAGTTCCAGATATTTTTCAATTGTAGAAATGCATCCCTTGCTTTCCCAATCCGTGCCCTCACATCTGCATCGGATCCATCTTTCTCGTCGATGATGCTGCCCAAATATGTAAAGGTGTTAACGTCCTCCAAAGCATCTCGATCAAGTGTGATTTGGTTGGTGCATAATGTGTTGATCGGAGAATTTTGCTTTTTCCTTTATATCATGAGACCTGCTGCTGCAGAGGCCGCTGATACACTGGTCGTCTTCTCTTGCATTTGTTGTTGAGAGTGCGCTAGAAGAGCCAGGTCATCCACGAAGTCCAGATCGTCCAGCTGCGTCCTAACTGTCCGGTTGATACTGTGCTTCCTTCCAGATGTTGACG